GTCTTGTGTGTGGGTGCATGAATAAATCATGTTAATGAGGTCGACCAGAGTTTATTTTCAGTCTGTTTTTTATGTATCGCCATTTGGATATGTTTATGTATTCACAATAGTTTGTAAACATTTCACATCAGTAATAAAAGGTTTATTTGTTTTATAACCCTGTCTGCTATTCTTCAGTAATTACGATGCGATGTATTAATACGTGCGTGAACATAATTATGCTAATAGGTCATCGTCTTCTTGGATTACAAGCGGTTGTTTTTCCCGGCCGTTTCGACTTGCACTGATCACGGTTACTAAAAAAGTAACCGTGCATTGATTACAATACTTACCATACTTTGTAGCCAATTTCAGTGAGTAATAAAACTTCATTCGCTGACATAAAACAAGTTTTATTCTTGAAATTCGACCCTGTGTCAACAGTTCTTGACCGAGTGCTCACGTTTATTGAAACCTCGCATAAATCATGAAATAAGTTTGTGTACAAAGTGTACAAAAGCATTCCTTTATTTGACTTTATCATACGATCACAAAAACAACTTTTTAAAATCTTTTTTGGGGTGGTCCTTGGGTAAGCGCCCACCCCCAATTTTTCCCGATTTTGTATGTTCAGGCCCCTGGGCGCGTGCCCGGGGTAATATGGTATTGTTCAATTCTTTGAAATCATTTTTACAACATTTCAATCTTTCCTGGTACCTAAATTAGTCCAATCTATGTTTTTTAAAGTCTCTGATGTCAATACAAGTGTATAATGTTTATTGTGGTCAGCAGGAATGAGTAAACTCTGTTTTCACAATGAGCTGATGTGAAAGTGCTTAGTTTACTATTTCCCTTATTAAAAAAAATCATGCCATTTTCCCATCAAAAATGATGTCACCAATCATTCATTTAAAAGTGTTATAAACTTATGCTTTTCATAAAGTATAGGCCATAACACTAGTTTATGTTTTTCATTCCTACGCATACGTAGTAATTGGCTAGTAGTTTATGCCTGAAGAAAAGATAACAGCATTATTCACTATAAATATACATGTATGTGTTTCTGTTAGTGTTATTGCAGCAGATCACATTTTCGCAAGCTGGTTGGCAAGATATCACTGTGCGATGGCCGAAGCTAAAGCGCCTGATTAGACTTGTGAAAATATAACTGCTGACAAAATTGAATAATCAGTTTTCTAGTTGCCATAAATCCTATTGAAGTAAACCAAAACTTACGGCAATATGTGTTCTTGAAGCATTCGTAGTCATACACCAAACTGCACCACCAAGTGAATCCACAGTAATCTAAATAAATTGATATTAATCCCATTAAATTCCTCAGTTTACAATGCAGTGAGATACAGTGATAATAACAGTCAGGTGATACACCATGTTATTTTAGTTTTTTGGAATGCAAGATTTACATTTTCAATAAATTACTTTCTATGATATTTCCTTGTTTAAAAGACAATGTTGATGACTTTGAGTCATTAAAATAATTTTAAATGACTTAAATAATTTATCATAATATAATAACACTTTACCAGTAAATATATCAAACACTGCCCATTTATTATCAGCCAAAATAACATTTTTATGTTAAAATAAATAATACAATGTTTTTAAAAAAAAAAAGATTACTATACTCACAATAAATATATGTACAAGAAATAAATCTTACCCGTGGTTCTATTTTCATCAAGTCATATTCTGTAATGCCACCATAGAGACCGGCTGAAAATAACCTGGAGTTTACCCATGTTAAGGCTTCTACTGATCGCCCTTCACAGCCAGGAACAGTCTACAAAATATACATGATAACAAGGATTTGTCAAGTAATATATAATACCATAGAAATGACATGTTCTACAGACTCATAGTAAAAGTATATTCATAATTTTATTTGATTTTTTCCATGACACACACACACACATATATATATATATATATATATACCGGTATATATAAAGTGACAGAGAATCTTGATGACATCATTAAAAAGGCAGCCGTATTTGATATTGTATGTTTACTCACCTTTTCATGATACCAACCATCTTGTCTACTCCATATTTCAACTGATGAATCAGATCTTGACACAGCCAATCGTTGAATGCTCTCTTCGTATGCTAGGCAATGAATAGCACTGGGGGTGTAGTTAAAGAAACGCACTAGATGTACGCAGAAATCACCCATTGGAAGAGATTATGTCAAATAACACATCTGCAATAGAGAATTTTAACAGGGATTAATTAAGGTGATACTTGCCTGAATCCTAATAAACTGTAAATGCATATAGAATTCTGAGTACAGAGTGACTAAATTGGTGAGCACCTATCAATGGCTGGGGTAAGCAGGACTAACACGTCAAATTAGAAGAAATTATATATATATGCTTTATAAGAAATATACTTTTTAATTTCATACATTTCGTCCTCAAATATTCCTGATTCAATCCTGATTGGTTTTTAAGATAAAATCACAACATTCCTTCATTTCTGACAAACAAAATCTTGTTGGTGCATATAAGGTTGCAGGTTTTGGTTTTGCCATTTTGAAAAAAATGCTGGTAAATAATTATTATTTTAACAATGTTTCAAACCACAAACCATGTCAAAACTTTAACATAACCCTTGAAATATATGGACCCTTATAACCCCTACCGAACCATAGTTTTCCATCAACACCATATGATCCTAGAATATTGCACTTAGAATATTCCTTGTGTAATTAAAAATGGCATTCCAATGACAAGACTAGTTTACACCCTTAAACTACACCAATGTAATTTTTCCATCCACTAACAAAAGACTTATAATTGTAAAACCCACACACCCCCATTAACCTAACTCACCCTTACCCTATTTAATTGTGTAATAAAAATAGTAATAATAACAAGTCGTTGAAAATGTCACAGTCCCCATAAAATTTTTGAAAGTTCTCTTTGTGCTCGTCATATTAAAGCGGAGGGGTTGTCGCGAGCGTGTCCTTGAAACTTGAGTTCCAAGTGGCGTATACAACAGATTGTTTAATGACATCAAAACACGTGTTCTGTGTAGCAGTAATATGACCAAAAATAAAAACAGCCGTTATTCGGCCATCTTTGATCTGATTATGAAACACACTGATATGTATGATGTATGTGCCAAATACGAGTGAAAATGGTACATAAATTGTGGAAATATAGTAGTAAGGCCAAAAAGTCAGATGGCTGTCAATCTGCCATCCTTGACCAGATTTTGTAACAAATTGTCATTGACATGACAAAGCATGTCCAAAATACAACATTTTAAAAAAACAAGATGGCTGCCAGTCGGCCATTTTGAATTGAATCAATAAACCACTACATGTGCATATGTCCCACATAAGGTACAAGGCACATGCAAAGAATGAACGGAATCGGTCCACAGGATTCTGAAATATGACTGGACGGACTGACACACGGACGGACGGACACACGGACGGTCGGACAGACTCAGGAACTCACGGACGGTCAGGGACATGTATCCTAACATGTATGATCTATGTACTAAATTTGAATGAAAACTGACAAAGCATGTCCAGATTACGACATTTTCAAAAAACAAGATGGCTGCCAGTCGGCCATCTTTGATCCAATTGTGAAATAAATCATCATGGACATGTATCCTAACATGTATAATCTATGTACCAAGTTTGAATGAAAACTGACAAAGCATGTCCAAAATACAACATTTTTAAAAAACAAGATGGCTGCCAGTCGGCCATTTTGAATTGAATCAATAAACCACTACATGTGCATATGTCCCACATAAGGTACAAGGCACATGCAAAGAATGAACGGAATCGGTCCACAGGATTCTGAAATATGACTCTGGACGGACTGACACACGGACGGATGGACAGACTCAGGAACTCACGGACGGTCGGGGACATGTATCCTAACATGTATGATCTATGTATTAAATTTGAATGAAAACTGACAAAGCATGTCAAAAATACAACATTTTCAAAAAACACGATGGCTGCCAGTCGGCCATTTTGAATCGAATCGCTAAACCACTAGATGTGCGTATGTCCCACATAAAGTACTAGGCACATGCAAAGAATGAACGGAATCGGTCCAAGGGATTCTGAGATATGACCTTGGACAGATGCACGGACGGACAGAGACCGAATTATAAGTCCCCATTTTCGGATTTCGTCCGAACGGGACTAATAAACTTTATTGATATCACATCCTTTATAGGATCTTGAGTTAGATTACAATAAAGTGAGGATGAAATAAAAAAAAAATATAAATGAATAAAATAAAATACATTTGGAGATAAATAAATAAATAAATAAATAAATAAATAAATAAATAAATAAATAAATAAATAAATAAATAAATAAATAAATAAATAAATAAATAAATAAATAAAAAGTAAACAATACAAGAGAATAATATTTAACACACTAAATACAGTTTTTGATAAAACCTTGCAGTTATGCTTGATATTAATATTGTGGTTTATTTAGATGGCAATGGAGTCTCATACTCATTCTCATATTATTTTCTCTAACATTCATATACATGTATGTATTTAGCTAGTTTTATAATTGTTTTATTTATTATTCTTCATCATGGCTATCATTTTTTCTTCATCTGTTGTGTTTGACAGTGATATTTTTGACTCAGTGTTTAGCTGTTTATTTTATTTTCATACAATTTGCAGTTAAGCAGAAAATGCTTTTCATCTTCAATTTCGTCTATATCTATCACACACAGGGCATTTCCTTTTGCATGCATCTATTTTACTGTAGTGATCCATTTCTATTTGTAGAACATGTGCACTAATTCTAGTTTTATTAGTGCTGATCTATGTTTAGAGTTTTTTTTGCTGAAAGATACGCTTCATAAGGGCAGTAATTTTTTAACATTTTGTATGTGCGCAATTTGTTTTTTTCCTTTATTCTCATCCTGCATTTTTTTTTACTGTTAATTTTGAAGAGTGTTTTCATCAACCATTCCAAGTCTATATGCTTCATGGACTATTATTTTCATTTTAATTTTTAGCTATTAAGTGTTTTATGCTAGTAAGTAGGGGGATACCTGCCAAGTTCTAATAGACATGCTAAATTACTAGCTTTACAGTTAACTTGTAACACATATTTACAGAATTTGATGTGTAGCTTCTCCATAGGAAGCATATTATTATGAAGATCTTTGGATTGTAGTATGCAATCACTAGCCCATACTTCACTGCAATAGAGTAGGACTGGTTTGATTATGCTGTCAAATAGTTTCAGGTGTGTTTTTATTTGGATCTTATTAAAATAGCAGTTTCATTTTGAATAGTGCTTTTGTTGTTCTGTGTCCAAGATCTTCCTGTGCTTAACCTTACAGAGACAACATTATACAGATGTTGGCTCTTCCATACATTGTTTGCATTTACATATTTCAATATGCTTTTCACTCCTGTTAGTATTGTTTTTATTAAGCTTTGTTGATTATGATTTTGGCATGAAGCCAATTTGTTCTTTTATTATAATGCTATTTTTATTGATATGTTTAGTAAGTATTTTTTTCTGTACAGAGATGACGAGTTTACTCAGACTATTTAGAAGAGTAATATCTCAATAATTTCCTGGGTTAGCTCACTCCCCTTTTTAAAGATTGATGTTATAATCCCCACTATTAATGATATGTTTAGAGGCTTTATCAGGACAATTTTATCGGTTTTAATCATTTCATTTGTTATGCTACCTTCACCGGGAGATTTTCTATTCTTTAATGCATTGATTGAATTTCTAATTGAGAAATATCTTTGTCCAGAATGGTAATAAGTGTATTTTTTAGGCTGTAAGTTTCTATTTTTAGGTTGTCGTCAAATGAGGTTTCATCAGTGTTGAGATTCTTGACTTGTTCATACTACATTTCTGTTTGTTGTACGGATTAAATGATACTGTACTGGACCTTGTTAGCGCCCATGCTTGGTCAAGTGTCCACTCCCCACTATTGCACAATTTTTATATTTGGGGTCACATTCGGCAAAGCACCCATCCCTTCAAAATGCCACTAATTTAAAACTTGGTTTTTGATCATCGCTTTACAAATACATATTCACCCACTTGTCTTATAATTTCAACATCATTGCAACTCACCAGGTATATAAATTTCCGATTAATGTTGTGGACTGTGTTTGGAATTATTACATCTCTCAATAGTTTTTGCCTGTTATTTTAATATTTTAGACATTCCATGAAATGTACCTCATTTTCTATTTTGTTCTCTGAACAATGTATACATAATCTGTTTTTTAGAGGTGTTTTTGGTTTAGTATGTCTACCTTTCTCTATTGCTAATGGATGGTTGCTAATTCTAAATCTGGATATGCAATGTCTTTGTTTTAAATTAAGAGTGTCTAAATATTTTTCATAGGTGTATTTTTGTTTTAGTTTTGCATATGTTCTGAGTTTGCCATTTTGGTTGCTTATGGTTACTTTCCACCAATCCATGAGTTATGCCATTGTTCTCGCTATGGACGATTGAACTTGCCGACTGACTTATACTTTGACTAATTTTGAATAAAAATATTTTATGTCTGTCTATTTACTACATGTGTTTTAATTTTCATATTAGCTGACTTGTACTTTGACTAATTTTGAATAAAAAATATTCTCCTACAAAGGCGGGTTGTTTACTATACATGTTTTATCGTGGGCACAAATAAGATTCAAGTCTTACTGAACGTTGCAATATAGCAAAATTTTCTTAGCTGCACTACCAAAAATATTTGTTTTGAAAACGATTTGCTACATTTTGTGACAATATCACTTTTCCTGGCAACAGTTGATTAACATTATTTTGACTAAACAACGAAGCTCCTAGATCCTGTACGGGGACGCGTTTGGTTGATAGATGACCCCCACACAGCCCTGCGTACCTTCATAGACTACATACATGTTGTACACAGGGCTATCCAGATCCATGTTATAACCATGGAGGTAAAATAGCACAACAATGAGAAAACTATGCTTTATTTTTACATGAGGTGAATATAGAATAATTTCCGCGTAACAGACATCTTACAAATTCGTTTTTTAAATGAATCTTACTAAACAATACTACCTGAGTCTCGCCCCACTTGTACAAACTTTTCCTGCATCAAAAATGTATACACATTCCGACATTCATACAATGCTGATTTTAATGTTAATTAATTTCAACAATGTCGGCACATTTGTACTGTAATTCAACGTCACTTGAAATCTGACCACATTTTAAATCTTGTCCATGGCTATGAATTTACGTTTTTTATTTGTTTGAATTACATTATAAAGAATAAAAACATTGGATCACAGCCTACAAAAATATCCCCTCTGTACCGTACACGAGATTTACCGTACTCTGTACCGTTCATGTGATTTACTGTATACAAACTTGCACAGCAACAAAAAACACAAAGACGTTATGATATTCTTAGGATACGGATTTCATTGCACGTGTGCGTAGCATTGTCACCCCCATGGATCGAATGGTATTGTCCTAATGTTAAACGCTAACCAACATTAGTAAACATCATGCCGGACTTGACTCGCCGGAATGCCCGGGCATTGATCATAAAAAGTGTGGATATCTGCTCGAATTCGCCACTATGTTTCAAATTGTGAGCATAAACGAATATTATACAGTACAAGGATTGCTATCGCTGCCCCACGCTTTAGGTATTTCTACCTGTTCGCGCCTGCGTGTGCCGGGACAGTCTCGCGCGTGTCCGCGAGTCAATTTGTAGGACCCTTGTTTTTGCATTGAATAATGAGCTAATTTTATTATTATTTAATGTAACCTGGTCTACTGAAGTATCAACTTCTAATGTACTATTTAAATCATTTACATACAGATTAAAAAGTATTGGACTGATTACACACCTCTGCCTTACACCTTTACTTGTCTCAAATATAGGTGTAATTTTATTTCCGAAACGAATGCATGTTTTTGTATTGTCATACAAGTTCTTAACTAAATTGTATATTTTCCCATCAATACCATTGGTTAGTAATTTATAATATAAGCAGTTCCTCCAAACACTATCAAATGCCTTTTGGAAGTCAACAAAGCAAGTATATAGTTTCCCATTTTGTTTAAGATATTTATTAACAATTGTTTTTAAAACAAAGATTTGATCAGTGGTACGTATCCTTTCCTAAAACCTGCTTGATTATTATTTATTATATTATTTGTTTCTGTAAATTGATATATTCTGTTATTAATTATGCTACATAGCGCTTTACCTACACAACTGGAAACTGCTATCCCTCTGTAATTACTTGGTAAGTTAATATATTGCCATCTTTAGGGCTATGCCTTTCTCTAACACTAACAGTCTCTCACTGAAGATTTTATGTGTCATTTCTCATAATATTGTGCGTTGTTCGTCATAACATGGTCGGTTGAGGGAAGGTTAGATTTAGGACTAGGGTTGGCGGGTACAATGGATTTAGTTCCTATGGGGATAACAGAATTAAATTCCGAGGGTACAATTTGATGGGCCTATTATATATACCGGTAAACCTGTTTTATAACTGCAATGACCCTGTAAACCATCACAAAGGCCGTTCGTTGCAAGACGTAAAAGGTGGCGTTTACCTGTAAATCAAACTTTCTCTTCTGATTTTGTCGTCAGCAGCCGAACGCTTAAATTCGATGATAATTGCAGGACCGTACACCACGATCGTAAATTTCAACACAGCACACGTGGGTAACCTCGCACAACTACTTCCGGGGTCGAGCGTGATTCACGCGTGAACTGACAAGCGCGGGAGATTTCAGTTGTTTTTTTAGATGTTTGTACTATTTACTGGTATGGCAATGTAGATCATGGTGCAGCTTGTGATCAGATCGTAAGTTTTCGAGAGAAACTGATTTATTCATCTCTTATATATTTCACAGTATATGTGATTATTCAATTTGGTTCACAGCTATTGAGAACTATCGTCAATAAAGCGTTTGATCTAAAAATTATAGTAAAAAAAAACATAAACAAATTGACTAGCAAATTATTTGGGAAAGAGTTCCTTTTTTACCCCCATCCCCAATCTTAACCCTCATCCAGGTACAAAAGGAACCTTTTTTCCATTATTTGTATTCAGGATGATTCTATTTTAAATATTTATCTATCACATTGTGTGCTTTTATGTACGTGTGTTTTGGTCTTTCGAAAATTGTCTCTTCGCAAATTTGTTCTTCAGAATCCACTATCTCGCCTTCTGATGGTAAACCTTTTATAGTACTAAAAGCACAAACAGATTTATTTCAGATGTACAAAGTGCTTTTGAATTTCAACCCATTTAAATGATTTTCATTTTACTGTTATAAACTATAGGGGCCAGAAAGGGATGATGGTTAGAAAAACAGTTAATTTAATATTTGTTTATTTCACTTAGTTTTTCAGGGCGATGGTACTGTAATTTTTTTCTTTTCGTCTTTCAAACATGTGTGTGTGTTTTTATAAATGGCAGACAATTTGCATCGCAGTGATGCATATAACAGAAACCAGCCCTCAAAGTTTTGTTTTTTTTCCCAGTGGCATAGACAACCAACAACATCATTCAATTATGCACTCTCATCTTTGTTGGGTTGTGCGCTGCAGTACATACAAAACATACAATTTTCGTCCTGCTATTTTACCCATGCAAACAAACTAAACCAATGTAGTTTAAATTTTCTCGTACCAATATCTTTGATGTCTTGGCTCAGATTTGGCAACAGACTGAATAGACTCTGACATTTTCTACATCAGATGCAACATCCCCTGTAATATAATATCACATCTCTGCTGCAAACTTTGTGGTTTATTCCTCTGACTAGCAAAATATGCAGTGATCATCAGATGTTATTTCATAACAAATATTGAAAAAAATTAAATATTGTTTATGTCACCAGCCAGATTTTTTGGTAACCTACATATTATTTTTTAAAATCGCAATTCATTAAATTTTATCCTCATCATGGCAACCAAAATATTTGCAATCTAGAGTGCTCATATGTACCAAAAAAACATTTCAGTGAAATGCGTAACCAAACTGGTAATGATACCAAGAAATGTGTAAACAAACTGGTAATTAGTCCCCTTTCGGACGCAGTTCGAAAACGGGGACTTATGTTTTGACCTCCGTGCGTGCGTGTGTGTGTGCATGCGTGCGTCCGGACCTGTATCTTAGAAATGCCTGAACCAATCACAATCAAACTTCACACATACATCATACATGATATCATACATATGCACGTCAATTTGTTTCATGATCTGATTCAAGATGGCCGAATGGTGGCCATTTTTGTGCTAAAAATCATCAAAATCAAGCATTTTCCGGCTGTTTACAGATGGATTTTGTTCAAACCTTGTATATACGTTGGACATTATAGGACCTTGATGCACATCATTTTGTTCTACGATCTGATTCAAGATAGCCGAATGGCGGCCATTTTTGTGCTAAAAATCATAAAAATCAAGCATTTCTCGGTTGTTTACAGATGGATTTTATTCAAACTAGATATATACATTAGACATTATGGGACCTTGATGCAAATAATTTTTTTTTTCCAGATAACATTCAAAATGGCCGACTGGCAGCCATTTTGTTTTAATGAATGGGATTCTAGACCCATATCTCCGACTTGTTTTGACTGATTATGTTCAAATTTTAAATATTCGTTATACATCATGTCATAGATAAACAGATATATTGGTTTTACGATCCTATTCAAAATAGCCGAATGATTGTCATTTTTGTGCTAAAAAATCATCAAATATCAAGCATTTCTGTCATTTATGGATGGATTTCGTTCAAACTTGGTAC